AAGATGGAAATTTGGCAACTTTGGATTTAATGAAGCTTTTGATAGAAAAGAATATGATACCCGCAACGCTTGTTGACAATCCGACATTGCACTCAATCATGTTGACGCAAATCATATTGGAAACATTAACGGGTGTAACGGTACCTCGGGCCCCTCAGGGGAACAACTTTACCTATCATATGAACGCTAAGGAAATTTTGATGTGGGATTTGGCTAGAAAAAATGAAAAGCAAGTCGCGACACTGGAAGAAGAAACGGGGGTGAATCTGGATCACTATCACAAACTGAACATCAGAAATTAACTTTGAGATCAAGCGATCTTGTAAAAAAAAAAAAAATATTTATTTCAAACTGTTTATGTTATTTACAAAGTTAATACCCATAGGGTAATGTTTTATAATCATCTATAATTACACGTTTATTATAAACTATTCTGTAGTCCTTTTTCGTACGTTTTGTTTCAATACTTTTTGTCTTTGTGTTTCTCGTGATCTTGTACGGGATATCAACCGTCACCGTATTGTTCACTTTGCATACTGCGTGCAAGTGTACTAATTCGCGTATAACGTCAAAGTTCACTTTCTGCCTTGCGGTGCAATTCAGCGTGATACCGCGTATTTTCGTCTCCACTTTGTTGGAACTGGTCCGATAGCAGTAATTCTTCGGTCCGCCCGAAATGAAGGTTGTAATGTGTCCTTCTTTCAATTCATCCGTGAGTTGACCGAGATAAGGACCTATCGGAGGCTCTGGTTCCCCTGGTTTGCTGACAAATATTACAGAATCTGTATCGTAGTACAACACTCTTTCATTCAGTTGATCCAGCACTCCGTAGAGCTTGAGTCGTGCATAGGCAGTGGTAAAAGCGGCGATGACCACGTTGGTCTTGGAGTTTGCCGTTACGAAATTCTCGTTGTTTTCGTAGTGGATCTCGATCACTTCATCACTTACGAAATTAGCATCGAGAACATTGATCTCGTCCGAGGTCAGATAGTCGAGAAACGTTTGCACGTCACTGATCAATTCCACTTTTGTCATATTAGGACGCTGTGCAAATTTACCTATGAAGAAAAATACATTATGAGTATTGGTAGCAATAACTTTCCACCTGTTCGGATGCCACCTAAAAACGTTTGAATTAACATGCATTGTTTAAAATACATACCCCAAAACGAGTTTAGCATGAGCTTGGATAACGCACGCATGCCTGGATTGTGCTCGATTTTGCTTCGATCCAACTGAATTCCTTCAACTGCAAGGTATTCGTCTACGTACTGCTGTCTCTGTTCCTCCGTGGTACAATTCTTAGGGTAACCACTCGACTCCTGTTTGATCTTGAGAAAGGTATCCACATACTCTTTGAACAATCGGTCGGAGGATTCGGGAAAATGCCATACTTCATGCAGTTGTAGAATTATGTAACCTTTCTCCAGGGCTTTCTCCAACTCTACGCTACACCACGTTCCTTGAATGGCTCTTTCGTTGTCGGAATGGGTACAGGGAGTCTGATCACACGCATCGGCACACAACTTGCAGAGGGGGAACATCAACTTGCCTTGTGTACGATAAGGTAAGACTGGATGGAAAAGACCTCGAGGTGGAAGCACCGTGCATTTAATCAAACCGAAGTAAGTAGAAATATCATCAAAATTCTCGGTGATGATCCGAGGATGGCCAACAACTGTCCGAGTCATTTTGTTGCACCATGGGTAGAGGCTGGTAAAATCCACATACCTAAGAGAAAGATGACGTCATCAATATATTTGCTGTGACGTCATAATCGTTCCAATCATTTTTTATACATCTTACCTTATTTTCTCACCATCTTTACACTCATGGAACAGCTTTGCGGCGTTGGTACGCCCACCAAAGAAGCCATCACGAGGTTCCAAAGGATCAACCAGATCGTAGCTATCAAAGTAACTCCTCATATCTTCATCTTGTTCGAGTTCTTTCTTGATGTCACATTCCCAGACTTCTATCACACTGAAACCCTGATCCTTCAGGTAACTGATCTTCTCCACTGTGGCTTGATGAAGATCTTGCATCGTCCTGCCATTGACTGGATTTATCGTGTCCCGAGCATAGCATTTCAAACATCCTGTAAAAAACAATAATATAATTTTTACTCCAAGGTGTTTATTCGAAGGAGGCGTTTATTCGAGTTAACTTACCGTGCCAAAAGCACCCATTGATCTCATAGGCTGTGTTGGTTGCTTCATCATAACCGTCCAGTAAATAGTTGCCAACACGCCTTTCTCCTGCATTTCGGGCATGTTGAATGTAGAGGTCTTCCTTTTCAGCCTTATACGAAAGCCATTTTAAAGCCAAGAGGGATTGCTTGTCTTTGGGACGATAACCGTGAGGGGGAATAATAGCTATGGTGTTTTCTTTTAGGAAGTTCTTTCGGAAAACAAGATTACAAGCCGATGCAATAGTGAGACATTTCTCGAACGGATCAATGTCTGTAACACCACGAAATAACTCGCGAAATTCCAGACAGCAACGACGTAATATATCCACATCAGATCGACAGTAAGTCAAAATCTCTTGTTGGAAGTCGAACACGTAATTGTTCTCTTTCAAACCATTATGCCATTCCAAAAACTTTTCTTTCTCATCAGGGCTCATTCCATCAGGATGGTAAAATGAAGTAGGTGGTAGGGGTCCAACGTAGTTTTGATTCTCGACTGTGTTGAATAGATGAGGGAAGTATCCTTTCGCGAGTTCGTTCAAACCAAACGTTTTTGGAAAATCAGCGAGTCTCATCGGTATGAAACTGAGAGAGTCGACAAACTTAATCTTAAACATTGGAACATTTAACGTTAAGATCTTGGCACCACGCATAATGACTTCGGGAATCACGCCATTCTCGTGTAAGTACTGTTGAATAAAGTAACCGTCGTAACCTTGAAAGTTGTGAGCCAACACGATACAGCTTGCATGTTCCTTTGTAAAAAGCCATTCACAAAATTCATTCCTCGTATTATCTCCTTCAAATACCCACTCGTCTCCTGCTTCGTTTTGTACTACGCACAAGTTGGGTTCATGATTTCCATTTTCTTGGCGACACTCAAAGTCGAAAAATAGCAGTTCGTTGTACCCACTTTGAGGGGCATCATCTCCGTCATGTGCCTCGGTGTCGAGAAGGTCAGTGTCCTCGCTGACGGTCGTGTTTCTCTCTTTCTCAGGTTGCATGTAACACTGATGATTCTCCAGGCGGACGTATTCCTTACATGTCGAGCAACGAGTCAAGCCGCAGTGATGCCGCCCCAATCTACCCCGTTTTACAACAGTATGACAGTCAGGACATTTTACCAAAGAAGCACAAATAGATTTTGCACTGCCTACAGTGTGTTTATGTCGATCGAAACATTCTTGACTTTTAAAAACACGCATACAATCCGCACAAGGCAGCCACGAAACAATCGGACAATTTTGAAAATAACATAATTTACACGAGTTAGGGCATGCATGATCAATAACTTTATCATACCCCTTTTTACAGGTATGACAATAGCGTTTTCTGGCAAAAAAGGCCGGCATACTCGTAATCACATCATAGTGATTGTCATGCAAAAATAAATAAATCATTTTGTCTTTTTCGGGACCGGAAAAAATTATAGAATTTTGGTGTTCTTTTGAAACTATATTAATTTGAAAATCAGACAGATGAGTTTGAAAACGTTTGACTTCGTCTAAGCCGCAAGAACCTATCTCGACCCCGGCTTTTTGGTGCAAATCTTGAGCCAAACGTGTTTGGAGCGTCTCTGGGGGTCTCGTATATGACGATCCCGACTATCGTTTTCAATTTTGGCCTTGGCAACGACTAAAGCACGAGCTAAACAAATTTCGTCGGTGTTTTGAATGCGAATAATTGAGCCTTTTTTGGCCAAATGTTTTTCCAAGTTAATTTCACTTCGCTTCGTGCCGGTTCCGCCGTTGGGCATTTCAACATGAATTAAATTTGTTTGTGATGTTACTCTGAGTGCATATCCACACCGGGCGAGCTTGAAAAATATGCCCGGCCACGGTGGGATTCGAACCTACGACCTTTGGAATACTAGCCCAATGCTCTTCCAACTGAGCTACGCGGTCAGGACGGTTCGAGTAAGTGATACTACAAGAACACATTGGTATCGAAGGGACTAGATACTGTTCCGAAATATCACTTACTCGAACCGTCCTGACCACGTAGCTCAGTTGGAAGAGCATTGGGCTAGTATTCCAAAGGTCGTAGGTTCGAATCCCACCGTGGCCGGGCATAAGTTTCAAGCTCGCCTGGTGTGGATATGCACTCAGAGTAACATCGCAAACATATTATTCACCTGAGTACACAACACCAACACAGAAAAAAAATTCATATTACAAGAACACATTGGTATTGAAGGAACTAGATACGGTTCCGAAATATCACTTACTCGAACCGTCCTGACCACGTAGCTCAGTTGGAAGAGCATTGGGCTAGTATTCCAAACGTCGTAGGTTCGAATCCCACCGTGGCCGGGCATAAGTTTCAAGCTCTCCCGGTGTGGATATGCACTCAGAGTAACATCGCAAACATATTATTCACCTGAGTACACAACACCAACACAGAAAAAAAAAATTCATATTACAAGAACACATTGGTATTGAAGGAACTAGATACGGTTCCGAAATATCACTTACTCGAACCGTCCTGACCGCGTAGCTCAGTTGGAAGAGCATTGGGCTAGTATTCCAAAGGTCGTAGGTTCGAATCCCACCGTGGCCGGGCATATTTTTCAAGCTCGCCCGGTGTGGATATGCACTCAGAGTAACATCGCAAACAATATTATTCACCTGAGTACACAACACCAGCACAGAAAAATTCATATTACTAGAACACATTGCTATTGAAGGAACTAGATACTGTTCCGAAATATCACTTACTCGAACCGTCCTGACCGCGTAGCTCAGTTGGAAGAGCATTGGGCTAGTATTCCAAAGGTCGTAGGTTCGAATCCCACCGTGGCCGGGCATATTTTTCAAGCCTGCCCGGTGTGGATATGCACTCAGAGTAACATCACAAACATATTATTCACCTGAGTACACAACACCAGCACAGAAAAAATTCATATTACAAGAACACATTGGTATTGAAGGAACTAGATACTGTTCCGAAATATCACTTACTCGAACCGTCCTGACCGCGTAGCTCAGTTGGAAGAGCATTAGGCTAGTATTCCAAAGGTCGTAGGTTCGAATCCCACCGTGGCCGGGCATATTTTTCAAGCGCGCCCGGTGTGGATATGCACTCAGAGTAACATCACAAACATATTATTCACCTGAGTACACAACACCAACACAGAAAAAAATTCATATTACAAGAACACATTGGTATTGAAGGAACTAGATACTGTTTCGAAATATCACTTACTCGAACCGTCCTGACCGCGTAGCTCAGTTGAAAGAGCATTGAGCTAGTATTCCAAAGGTCGTAGGTTCGAATCCCACCGTGGCCGGGCATATTTTTCAAGCTCGCCCGGTGTGGATATGCACTCAGAGTAACATCCCAAAACATATTATTCACCTGAGTAAACAAAACACCAGCACAGAAAAAAAATTCATATTACAAGAACACATTGGTATTGAAGGAACTAGATACTGTTCCGAAATATCACTTACTCGAACCGTCCTGACCGTGTAGCTCAGTTGGAAGAGCATTGGGCTAGTATTCCAAAGGTCGTAGGTTCGAATCCCACCGTGGCCGGGCATATTTTTCAAGTTCGCCCGGTGTGGACATCCACTCAGAGTAACATCACAAACATATTATTCACCTGAGTACACAACACCAGCACAAAAAATTCATATTACAAGAACTCATTGGTATTGAAGGAACTAGATACTGTTCCGAAATATCACTTACTCGAACCGTCCTGACCGCGTAGCTCAGTTGGAAGAGCATTGGGCTAGTATTCCCAAGGTCGTAGGTTCGAATCCCACCGTGGCCGGGCATATTTTTCAAGCTTGCCCGGTGTGGATATGCACTCAGAGTAACATGGCAAACATATTATTCACCTGGTACACAACACCAACAC